AGAGTTACAATCGAAGCGCTCCAATTGGTCACCTTGCCTTTCTCGCTCTCTCATTGGCTCCCCTCGCTTTTTCCCACCCATTTGGCCCTCCTCATTCGCTGGCTTTAGCATGGACTTTGACAGCTTGACATCATTCTGATGTCCGCAGGGATGCAAACCTGACTGGGCCATTCCCAATCCATGGCCATCCGTGCTCTCAATGGAGAGCTGTCCACAATGTTCATGATAGGTGTGCTCTCCTTTGTGACTATGGACATCCACACAGGTTCCGAGGCTCAGTCTCATTCCGATCACTCAGTGTGTCTGATGGATTTGGATTTTCACCCCAGTTATGCCCTAGTGTTCATGTCGCTCAGAGACTGAGCTACCCTGATTCCATGATCACCTACTGTGCCCCATCTCTCTTCATGCTTTTGCTTCTGAGACAAGTGGTTAACGTGGTACAGGTATGGATGCCAGAGATGCAATGACTCCATGCGATCATCCATGTAAGTTAACTCAAAAATCATCTCCCTCTCGATCAACATGGTTGAAATCTTCAAGACGGGCAGTTTGCCGTGCTTTTGCTGGCATTTTGGCTGCATAAAAGTTGAATAGTGGGTGTGGGCCCCACTGTCATATCCATCTATGGCCATCATCCTCCACTACCTCCAATCCTTCCAGACTACCTCTGCTCCTTCTTCACTAACCTCGGAGCCCCCGTATTCCACAATCACCTCCGATTCCCTCGATGGTCACCACCCCCTCTTTTCAATATATTACCTATGCCTTCCTAAGTATGGCCGAAGGTCTCTGGACAGCCCCGATGTCCGCTAGCACACTCCTGCCCCCACTGGGCAATTCACTTGCTTGCCCTGCAAGTGTACCTTTGGGCCTATCCCTCCTTTCTGTTTGTGGGTTATCGCCTGCCATTCCACTAACCCCATGACCCAACTTGTCAGTAATATTCAGTCAGCTAATGTTTAACTCTGTTAGCTCCGCTCTGCTTGGTCCTGCCATTCACAAGCCCGCCTCGCTGTAACTATACTTAACTTGTAGATAGGTTACACCCCAGTGATAAAATTGACTAGAGTTGATCCCCCTTTTTAGTTCTCATTGCCAGTAAGTAAATTAGGGCATGGATGTGTAACCAGGCACAGCGCTCCTGGTCTGAGTCGCTGAGGCCGAAGCCCTCCACCACGGAGACAACTCCTTCGTCTTGCTTCTGGTCTCTAACACTCATCACCCCCAGAGCTCTGCTCCACCTCCAGTACATCCCTGACCCACTGGCAGATGACCTGGAACCTCACTCCACACAACCACTCAACTGGGAAGCATATGGATAGCCTTCCTGGTGGGTCCATGACAGTTGTACCATGGTGGGAAAAATAGGGAAAAATACAGCAATGAAGCAGAGAACTCTGTTTGTTCAATTCTTAATTACATGAGACTCTTTTGTTCTAAATTTGAACCATTACATTTGTTTAAACATTTCAAATCACATTTCTACTAAATGTCACAGGATAAAAATGGGATAATCAGCTGAAAGTCATAGCATAGCCATATGTGCAGTAACATGCAGTCTGAATTCAGAATGACTGAGTCATAGCAAACTTAATGGTAAACAAGTAGAATTTGAAATAAAAACTGTGACAAATGTGGCACAGTCAAGTTCTAATTAAACATAAATAGCTTAGGCAAGGAGGGACAATGAGAATTCTAGGTGCAGTCTGACCATAGCAAAGCTGCAGTTCAGCACAGCTGAGTGCAGTAGAACTATAGCATGAAAAATTCATTTTTTATTCAGTTTAAGGAAAATACACTGTAGATACATCCTGTAAATACGAGGTAGAGCATGAAAAAGGAAGGCAACCTAAGGAGTATAAAAGGAGACCCTTTCTGTGACTTTACACCCCCCCTTAGAGAAGTAAGAAAATAGAGTATTATTTTTCTCAAGCAATTCTGGTTATCACTCCAGTGCAAAAAAGTGTAAAACAGTTAAGATTGCCACTGTAGTAAAAGGCAGCAATTAGGGAGAGAAATATTTACTTTTCAACAGGAGAGCTGGTTAACACTCCAGATTTCAAAAGTGTAAACAAAACAGTTATATTGCTACTGTTAAAACAAGCAATAAAAATAAGAGAAAAATAGGAAAAGGCCATGGGACACTTCAGATACAATCTAAAACCATTCACGGAATAAAATCTTTGAAAATTCACTAAGCAGAGATTGATTTCAGGTTAAGATTCCAAATTTAACGATCCCACACAGAATTATACCTAGATAAATTGAGAAATTACATTAAGGGAACAGCTCCACAGGGTTTTGTTCATCTGTAAGTCATTGCTCAGAGACTTTTAGACTAACCCATAAAACAGAATTAGCCAAACACTTGGATTAGTACTATATTTACAACAAATTCATTAGTACACCTCCCCATCCAAACCAAAGAACCAGGGAACAGATTGGTGGTGGTCTTGTTAGAACCTCCCAACTGTCCTTCCTTCATTCTCTCCTTCACCGGAGGTGACAAAAGATGATGGATATGACATTCTCCCATTGTGCTGTTGTCTCAGGTTATGGCACTGTGTCAGGGACTCGTCTGGGGTCGAGGGACCCTGGGTGTAGTGTCTGGTGCTGAGGGCCTGGCAGGGGCAGATCGGGCATGCGTACTGACAGGCCCGATGCAGGACAATGATCCCTGGCCACTTAGACTGAAGTGGAAAGTTGAGAAGAAGGCTACTTCTTTGGTTCCCACTTCAGCTTCGTTTATATACATGCAGCTCAGGTCTCATGACAGGTGCCACGTCACCCTCGCACACAGCTGTAACCACCCAGGTGTCTCTGTGGGAGATCCCAAGGGCATCCGGTGCGAGCACATGTGCTGGGCACAGCAGGGAGTCGCCCAAGGTGCCCAGGCCAGGTGTGTTGTGGGCACGCTGCAGATGGGTCAATGGTACATTGATACAAAGGAAGATCGTCCATGTAGAATAAAGAGAAAATAAAGAGAAAGTGAAAGTAGGAAGAGTGAGGAAACAAAGATGAGGAGGGGGAGAGGAAGAAGGGGGAGGAGGTGAGGAGTGGACAGTGGGGTACCGGGTCAGGTGGGGCCAGGTGGAGGCGGGTCAGGTGGGTGTGCCCTGACACACCTCTGAGGATGACTTAGTAGTAGAAACAGTAAAGTCTGACTCAGTAGTCATGTGACTCATATGGAGTGAAGATTAAATAGAAAGACAAGGAAACAAATGCACAACTTCAACATGTGCACCATGTACCATGGACTGCTCTTGTCCAGGTGCATGGCACTGAACAAGAGCCAACATGTGAACATGGTTGTTTTGTCCAGTCACCCATTGTTCCCCTGAGCAGTCCCAGAGTTATCATTCCACCCCAGCTGAGATCCCCATTGTTTTAAGTCACTCCCTCTGTTATGGAAATGGGAATTTCCCATTTTAGACTCTTATGGGTTCTGTGTCACATGATTTGTATAGTAATTAAGTTTAACCAATCAATAAACAACCAAAAACCCGCTGTGCTAACATCTGTTACAAATGTTAAACTGCCTGTGATAACATCTGTATAACCATATGAACCCCATTCCCCAACCTTTCCCCTTTCCTGCGCCTTGAACGGACGAAAATGGGCGTCTCCGGCCCCATTTTTGTAACACCCTCCCTCCCACAAGATGTAATGGGTCTATCACTTGTGACTCAGGTTTGGGGGGGTAGGTCTCTCTCTATGTCAGATAGTAGTGGGTCCTTGGGAGTATGGTGCTATTACTCTGTGTACCTCTGTCTCTACTGTCTGTACAGTTGTCTGGCAAGAGCCAATACAAATATAAAAGGAAAGTGAAAGGCAAATGTGTGAATAGTTAAGAAAATAAAGAAAATGTCATATTTTCTCAACCACGCAACGAAATCCAACGATCTTGGACTCGTAAGAACCACCTACCCAGTCCCTACAACTCTTACTATTACCATGACTCAGCAATCCTAGCCTCTGATGCAGTAAGGGGTGAAGTGTGCAATAAGTGTTGCTTTGGCCTGCATGGACTTGTCCCCACAACAACATGATGCCATTCATGACAGGATGATTGCCCCAAACAGTGCCATCCTGTGTGCAGCTGACTTTCCATCATATGACTCTTTCATCCATGCTACCATTTTGTTTGATGTTGGTTCCACATCCTTTGGACCAAATCCAAAATCACTTGGCAACCATCCTCTCTTCAACACATGGCAGCTCACTGAGCTCAAAGTCTTTCATCACCCATGTTCTCATTCTCATCATCCTCTTGAGCCACCACATTTGCTGCCACTGCATCCATCTCTTCCATGCTCATCCCCCTTGACATCCTGCCATTCCAGTCTTGTGAATTGAACCCATCCATTCCACTGTGGACAACGCTGCTGAGCATTTGCCTTCCATGGCAGTGCTGCCACTTGCCCCTTCACCACCAGCTCTAAATGTTTATTAATATTTCTACCTACCCAATATTACTACGGACCTCCTAGGACCTCCACCACCCCTGCAAAGGTTTTCCCACTCTCCAGTAGCTGTCACTAATTCCACCCTTCACCTACCCACTCCACAATGCTTGATAAGGCGATTCTCTCACAAGCTCACCGACCCAGCAAGTGGGTAATGTCATATCCATCCACGGCCATCAACTTCCACTGCTTCCGATCCCTCCAGACTACAGTGCTCCAAAAAACCGTTCCAATGTTTTTCACTTTTCACTTCATGAGCTTATAGTATCATGGCAGCACATTCTAAAATTCCCCAAAAATCTTTAAACATGCATTAGTATCCCCTTCACAGATCTGCAAATTATGTAAGCAATATATTTATTTCAGAGTGGAGGCAATCCAGGATGGCTGGAGGTGATGAAAGGTGGTGGCAGGAGATGAATATGACATCAGCCATGTGTGGTACACTCAGGTTCACACCTCCAGAGCTAATATCAGGACAAGGGGACAAGTGCATTGGAAGCAACATCCATTCATTTGCATGTACATGCCTTACAGTGGGCCAAACATCTGAGCTAAACATCCATTCTTACTAATCATTTGGGCACTCCCACTCACTTGTACACATGTACACCCAAAAGCATAAACATCACTATTGATGGTAGGGTGCTGTTTTTCCCAAAATAATTCCAGTGCAGTGAACTGGACACAACCTCCTAAAATGGAGGTTGTTTTCCCTGTCAGAAGACCATCAAGGATACCAGATACTCCAAAGCTGCACAACTGTGCTTGACCTGCACCATTGATTAGGATGTTGGACTAACCAACTCTGGTCAGCAGTGTCTGTGCAAGCAATTTCTCAGTCTGACACATACTGGATTAAGATCCACATGGATGGTAGTAGGATTGTGTCTGTGGAGGTACAGCAGTCCCTGAGCTCCAACTGATATCTGTATTTATGCTGGAGGATCAACCAAAGCATGAGATTGATTCTACCAAAACACTCACCAGCATCCCACAATCAGCAGCAGGTTTCTGGGCCAAATATATGAACAACAGGGCTGTTTAAGATCCTCACTTCTCTGATTAGGTGCTGGAAAACAATGATGCCAATAAGGATAATGGATCATGACTCCCAAAGAGATAAATAAGGCATCACCTTTATGACTTTCCTGGTGTTCTCATGTGTATTCCTGAGACTGTCAATTGAACTAAGAGGTTTATAGCATACCTAGAGAAATCATGGATTGAGTCAGCCAGGAGTGATATATATGTAATGGCAACATACAGGGATTTCAGCTCCAGTGCAAGGACCCCAGCAAGCACAGAACACATCCAAGTGCCCCCTGCTAACATTGGGGTTGTAATACATATCCTCAAGCTGACCAGGAGATCTTGAACATTCCTAAAAAAACAGACATGGAATCCACTTGTTCTACAGCAGACATCAGTGAGTTCAATGAGTGCATGGTTGCCATAGGAGCACCATTGTGCATCCAATGATCCAAAAACATCCCCTCTGCATCTCCTGGAGACATGGAGAGTCCAGACTCAGCAAATGGGGCCATTTGCAGCACCTCCCAAATAAGGGGGCAATTCCCAGGCATTGTGGAGCATCATTGAATAGTGCATATTGAACTGGATCTGTCATATCCCAGATCTTCCACCTCCCTCTGCCCTATTCCTACATGACTCCTATGACTGTCATATCCACAACAACTCTGCCTCACCTCCGCTCCACTCCACCACTGCTCCAGTCCACCTCTGGTCCGTCCTCCCCCCACACCTCCACTATACCCTCCAGTCCACCTCCGGTTCACCTCCACCACCAATCTCTGGTACCTTCTTTGCTACCTCTTATCCTCATCCTATATGATTATTAATATTTCTATCTACCCAATATTACTACGGACCTCCTAGGACCTCCGCCCACTCTGCAAAGGTTTTCCCACTTCGAGTAGCTGTTGCTAATTCCACCCTTCATCTACCCACTCCACAATGCCTGATAAGGTGATTCTCTCATGAGCTTGCTGACCCAGCAAGTGGGTAAGTCCCCCTTGGGTTTTCCCCTTTGTTCCCATTTGTCTTCTATTATGTATATAAGTCCTGTACTGTAGTTGATGGCACATCAGTGCAAAATCGACGACTAGACTACCCCCCAGAGTTCGCACCCTCTTGTTCTGAAGTTAAGGACCAGACTCCTAAGTGTTTACTGAATGTAGGCACAGCACTCCTCTCCGAGTCGCTGAGGCCATGGTCCCTCCACTTGTTCTCTACCTCCAGCCTCCTTCTGGGGAAATGTTAGAATGGGCGGAAACGGACGACTCCGGAGTGGAATCGGAGACTTAGCGTGGAGGGACCTTGGCCTCAGCGACTCAAGCGGAGCGCTGTGCCATTGCTGTTTGTCCATTTGGTCCTTAATTTCACAGTAGGTGAGCAGGAAGTCTCTTGGGGGCATTTCAGGTCGATTTCGGACTAAACCAAAACGAGTATGTACAAGCGCCGATATATATAATGGAAGGGGCAAAAGCACAAGGAGAACAAAGGGTAACCGAATCGGAATGAAGATGTCCGAACGGGAACAAAGGGTAGAAGAAGCGGAGAGGTACCGAAGGTCATAAGGCAGGACCTGTGATACATCCGAAAGGAGGTAGGGAGGGCAAGGCCCAGAGGGGCAGGAGGATGAGGGGAAGTGGGGATGATGACTAACTGGCTAGAATAGAAAGAAGCAGTAGTCCAAATAGGGATGAGGGGAAAACGCGAGAAATACATTACAAGCGGCGAGAGGGCCAAAGGTGATCCGTGAAGCTCGGGGGTTGCGGAGCTTACGGAGGTTATGGAGGCGGGGTTGAAAGTCCGAGGGATATTGGCAATGGTGTTTACGTAGTATGAGGTCACCAATGCAATGGACTAAGACCGAGGTGGAGTCAAAGTCCGAGGTAGGGACTATGACGGAGGCTCGGAGTAAGGTACGAGCGGTGTCCGAGTGCGAAGTACGGAACAGCGGTGGAAGGTCGTAACTTGGCGGAAGGGTGGCGGAGGAGTAGCAGAGGGAGGAGAGAGGGGAAAGGTAAGGGAGAAGGAGTGGCGGAAAGAAGAGTAGTCAGGTCCGAAGGTGAGTATCGGAGCAGACGGGGGAAGCGTAGGAGGATGACGGGAGGGTGGAGGTGTTGTGAAGGGGGAGCGGAGTAGTAGGAGGGTGGCGAGAGGGGCAGTGTTCGGTCCGAGATGAGTATTGGAGCGGACGGAGATAGGGTCGGGGAGGTAAGGCGGAGGTGTGTTGCCAGGACCGAGGGTGAGTATCGGAACGGCAGCGGTAGGTTATGACTCCGGAGGTGAAGAGGGTGGAGGTCCGGAAGTCGGGTCAGGGTCGGGTATGCACGGATATGACAGGAAAGGTCCAGGGACACTGCCCTCCTCATGTGTTCTTGACAATGACCTCCACCAGCCCCCCCAATCTCTCTCTGCTGCCTCCGGTCGATGCCAATGACCCTAGGACTACCTCCTCCTTTGACTCTCTCCTGCTCTGCCTCCCATCTACGTCCACATCACCTCCAGACCTCCCCTACCAGACCTCCACCTCCTTGGGCCTCTTGTTCTAAGGAAATGGACCTGCTCATTGTTGGTAAACCTCAACTTGCCTATCCACCCTCCTTATTTCCAGTCTCCACACCTCCGGTACCTCCCCATTCCTACCTTATCGATAATCTTTATTGTTTTATCATTTGATATTTTCTACAACCCCAATCTTCTGGACTACAACTTCTGGGCTCTGGGCCATTCCAGACATCTTCCTCTGTAGTCTCCTGCTTATTCTTAGATGGGTCCAGGCCTTTCCATTCAGTTGGCTTTTAATTCTCCCACTCCACAAACCTCAGATGTGATTTGGGCTTTTCACCTATTCCTTATTTGTCCTGTGGATTCTTTTCTATTTACTTCTCCTTCCCCTTGGTAACCTCTGTTTACCTTCGGATCCAATTGTTTCTGATATACAGTGCTCCAAAAAACCGTTCCAATGTTTTCACTTCTTGAGCTTATAGTATCATGGCAGTGCATTCTAAAAATCATTTAGGATGCATTAGTATCCCCTTCACAGATCTACAAATTATGTAAGCAATATATTTATTTTTGGTAAACTTATTTAATTTATAAGGGACCCATGTCATTGGAATGGTTTTTTGGAGTGCCTTTGGCACATCCTAAAAATAAAAATATCACATGTCATGTCATGTGATATTGTTTACTGTACACACTAATGAACAAAATAATGTTGCTGGAGCATAAATACCCAACATTCTTGCAGCATAATGCCCCCAAAATCCAAATGCATCCCTTGTCTGCTTCAAAAATTGCCAAAGTCCTTTCCCTCATTGATTCTGGTCATAGTGCTTGCCAGATCTCATCTGCTACTGGCTGTGGCCTCACCACTAAGGCCGGAGGATAAATGGGAATGAGAATGGGTAAGGGGAAGTTAGCCGACTGAATGGAAAGAAGACAACAGTTGTACTACAAATGGAAGGTGACTAATTTATGATGACGAGAGCGGGATCACCAGAGGATGCAGGTAGCTCTGAAGCCAGAGTTACATATCTGAAGGATGTCAGGTGACTCCACTAAATGAAATGGGAGGGGGAATAGTTTAGAGGTATGTGACAAGATGTCAGAGATCCATTGGGAGGTCTGAGCAAATCTGGAGGTTCCGAATGTTCTGACTCAGGACCGAGCTTTCAGGATGGAGATGGCCAAGGGCAGGTGTGCCAAAGTCCAGGCCGGAGCTGAGACAGTTGGGATGGAAGGTGACATTGGGAAGTGGGGAGGTATGGTGTAGGGGATGATGAGGTTGTTAGGTGTAGTGAGATGGGAGAGTATGGGGTCAGGATTCCAGGATATGACAGGCCCGGCCTCTGTTTAGGGGCAGCCCTACCTCAGAGCTGGACACTTGCAGTGTCCCAGGCAGCCCGGTGCTGGATCCTATCCCAAGCTCCTCAAACTCACTAAGTGGGGATTGAGTTGAGAAGAAGGGTAAGTTTCCCTATTCCCCACTTGGCTGCTATAAAAGGGAAATGTACTGTACAGTTCATAATGTGACTATGGGTAGAAGCTGAGCATGTTCCCACAATGCAGAAAAGGTGTCACATGGGTTAAGGTGAGTTGCTCGCCTTGACCCACATTGTTATGGAAATGGAGAATCTTATGGTCCGTGACAGGCAACCAGACCTTGAGGCCCTTTGCTATGGAAATGGGCCTAGACTCCTATAGACCAGGCACACAGGTAAGATATTTCTTACTTCTTCTCACTTCATTCTCTGCCAAACCCCATGCCAAGCTTTCCCACTGGGTTTTGGTGCTGGCTGGGGGATTTGTTGATTTCCAAAGGACTTCCTTTGGCCATTATAACATTTGTATTAGATAGATACAAGTCATATGACATGTATGGTAATTGCCGAGATGTTTTCTCATTATCAAATACATAACCCACAAACCTTGTACCGCGATTGTAACATCCTCACCTTTGTGTCACCACTGTAAACTCAACCTGTAACCCTGGAACCATGTCCACCTCCCTATTCCTCCTCTCCATGACAAAACCGCAATGAGGAGGGCATTCCCATGCCCAACCTCCTGCTGCCCGCTCCCACCAGTCCACTGGGTGGTCGAGTGGTTACTCCCATCCAACCAGAAGTTCCCTATCAGGAACTGTAGCCTATCCCACCTCCTCAGGAGAAGGATACGGTCCAGGCAGCTCCAGGATGCCTGGCCATGCACCCATGGGTCCCACTCCCACGGTCACCCACTACCGTGCACTGGTCCACCGGCCCACTTTCCCCAACAACTCCCGCTACCGGTACGCTCCCATGAGTGCCAAGTCACCGATAGCCACCAACTGGGTGACTCCCTTTGGGAGTCCCAGTATCCCTCACTACCGGTACGCTCTATTGAGCGCCAAGTCACCGCCAGCCAAACACTCCCAGCATACCCACTACCGGCACGCTCCCAGGAGCGCCAAGTCCCCGTTAGCAGACAGCCAGGTGGCTCCCTCAAGGAGCCCACATCATACTCGCTACCGGTACGCTCCCAGGAGCGCTAAGTTACGGTTGGCCGACACACAGGTTGTACTTCCATACACTCATCCTATTCTGCTCTCCCTCCGATGGCTACGCAGCCACCTTCATTAGTGAGCCAAACGGCTCAGGTTGGGTCCCCCGGAACCCATTCCTGTAACACACATGATTTTTCCCACAGGTTCGCATGTGGGCTGTAGTTGTGAGAGGTACATATGTAAAGATGGGAGGATGAGGGAAGTGGGGGGAGGTCAGGGAAGGTGGTTCTGGTCAGGTGTGGTTGCCCTGACAACTGTGAATGGACAACCCAGCAGCCAACCCCTAAGGCTTCCAGGATGTCATCATGGTTGGGAGGCAGCTTAATCTTACTAAAGCCCCCATGGATGGTTTGTACATGTTCTTCCACATACTTGCGATGAATGCCAATTTGACACCCTTTGTTAGAACTGGGCAAGGGTGGACGATTCCAGAGGGGAACTGGAGACTTAGCAAGGGGGGACCTTGGCCTCAGCGACTCAAGCAGAGCGCTGTGCCATTGCTGTTTGTCCATTTGGTCCTTAATTTCATAGGAGGCAAGCAGGAAGTCTCTAGGGGGCATTTCAGGTCGATTTTAGACTAAGGCCTAAAACGAGTATGTACAAGCACTGATATATATAATGGAGAGGGCGAAAGCACAGGGAAACAAAGGGGGTCCGAATGGGAACGAAGGTGTCCAAACAGGAACAAAGGGATGACAGAAGCGGAGCAGTACCGAAGGTCATAGGGCAGAACCTGTGGTACATCCGAAAGGAGGTAAGGAGGGTGAAGCCCAGAGGGGCAGGAGGATGAGGGGAAGTGGGGATGATGACTAACTGGCTAGAATGGGAAGAAGCAGCAGTCCAAAGAGGGATGAGGGGAAAACGCGAAAGATACATTACAAGTGGCGAAAGTGCCAAAGGTGATCCATGGAGCTTGGGGGTTACGGAGCTTATGGAGGTTACGGAGGTGGGGTTGAAAGTCCGAGGAATATTGGCAATGGTGTTTACGTAGTATGAGGTCACCAATGCAATGGACTAAAGCCAAAGTGGAGTCAAAGTCCAAGGTAGGAACTATGATGGAGTCTTGGAGCGTGTCAGAGACCTGGTTGAGACGAGGGAGTGTCTCCGTGATGGAGGGCTTCAGCCTCAGCGACTTATGCCAGGAGCACTGTGCCAAGTAAACACGTCCATGCCCTAACTTACTAACTGGCCACCAGAACTGAAGAGGGTAAACTCTAGTCGATTTTATTACTGGAGTGTAACCTATGTACAAGTTAAGTATATATAGTTACAGTGAGGGCGGGTCCGCAAATGGCGGAGCCGGAGCTAACAGGGTTTAGACATTAGCCGGTTGAATATTACCGACGAGTCGGGTTACAGGGTTAATGGAAAGGAGGGATAGGCCCGAAGGTGGGCTTTGCAGGGCAAGCGAGTGTATTGTCCAGCAGAGGCGGGAGTGCGCTAGCGGACGTCAGAGCTGTCCGGAAGCCTTCGGGGCTCTGTACTTAGGGAGGCATAGGTAATAAATTGAAAGGAGGTGGTGACCATCGAGGGGTACCAAGGGGATAGCGGAATATGGGAGCTCCGAGGTTAGTGAAGAAGGAGCGGAAGTAGACTGGAGGAATCGGAGGGGTTGGAAGTCGATGGCCGGGGATGGATATGACAGAGTGAAGGTATGAGTGGTGTCTGAGTATGAGGTACAGGACAGCGGCGGAAGGTTGTAACTTGGCGGAAGGTCAGCAGAAGAGGGCCAGAGGGAAGAGAGAGGAAAGAGGAAAGAGGAAAGGAGTAGAGGAGAGGAAAGGAGTCAGGTCCGAAGGTGAGTATCGGAGCGGACGGGCAAAGGGTAGGAGAATGATGGAAGGGTGGAGGTGTTGTGAGGAGGAAGCGGAGGAGTGGGGGGAGGAGTAGGAGGAGGGTGGCAAGAGGAGTGGTGTTTGGTCCAAGGTGAGTATCGGAGCAGATGGAGATAGGACAGCAGAAGGATGGAGGTGTGGAGGTGGCATGGGAGGTGAGAGGAGGTGTGGTGTCAGGACTGAAGGTGAATATCAGAATGGACAGTGGTAGGGTAGGACTCCAGAGGTGGTGAAGAAGGAGGTCCAGGAGTCAGGTCGGGATCGGGTATGCACAGATATGACACCCTTGGCAAATCTCTGGGGGAGAGGCTGGCTGAATGCAGAACAACACCAGTGCTGTCATGGGGATTGACAGCTGCACTCAGGGAGGGCAGCTCACTTGGGATATATGTGCTTGGGAAGGATGGAGGGGGAGATGCCCTTGAAGAGGATCTGAGTTCCATCACCTTTGTTGCCTTGGCTCATATATGGGGGTGTTTACATGCCACTTGGGTGCATGGAGTGGGAAAGTTGTCCAATTGGGGACAATGGAATTCATCAGTTTCTGTATTATGCAAGATGATGATTTCCTTTCCAGCAGCAATATGTTCTTGGTGGACCTTGGGCATATGGAGCTTGCAGGCACTCTGGTTCTTGAAATCTTCTGCACATTTGGTACACTTGAGCCTCCCATCTTCAGAAACCACCCTGGAGAGATACAATGAGCACAACAAATGAGGGGCAATGATGTTGGCATTGCACTCACCTTTCTTGCCAACAAGCAGAGGCATGTTTAAGCTACTCTACCCAACAGAATCAGTGATGGCTGGAGATGAGGAAGGGCACATACAAGGTTTGCAAATGAGATGAGCAAGATCTGTTGTGGAATTCAGAGCTTTAGAAAGTGGATAAGTGGTGGAATCAGCTTCCACTCCTTACTTTAAGTAACATCATCCAAACAACACTGACAACACAATATCAACAATACAAATGATGAAGAACCCAAACAATACAAGCAATACTGACAATATGAAACCAACAATACCAAATGATACAAACAATACAACCAATACTAACAATATAAACTGTAGAATGCGTGAATAACACAAACAATACAAACAATACAGTAAAAAAAGAGCAGGCATGCTTGTGTTAGGCAGAGGTTGTATTGTCAGTAGTGTTGGTGTGATCATTGTGTCGCCCACACATGACTTTGTCCCTTCATCCAGCAATGTTGTAGTGGAGTTGACAGAATTTATTTGTTCATTCAATCCACTTTTGTAGTATTATTACATAGTGGCTGGAGGCCTGCCTACATCTTTTCCACTATCTCAGCACTCATGCCAAATGTTAACAAGGGGAAGGAGAAGTGAATAGTAGAATGACTCCACAGGACAAATGGTTTTTAGGAAAAAAGCCCAAATTATATCTGAGAAGTGTGGAGTGGGAGAATGGCCAACCAACTGAATAACAAAGGTTAAGTCTGTTCATAAGTGAGCAGGGGTACTACAAGGAAAATGTCCAGAAAGGTCCAGAACTTGGAAGTTGTAGTCTGGAATATTGGGTACAGGGAAAATATCATATAAGGAGTAATTCTACAGCATTGTAGCTTTCTGTTGCATATTTTATCATATTTTTAGGATGACTACAAGCATGATAAATCTGATTTCCACCCAAGATTAACAGGATATATACTTCATATATACATTATATAAGTTTATATTACTTCTATTTTTGGATTAGTCATTGGTGCATGCTTATTAAGCTTTTATATTGCTTTCTAAGCATGTTGAGATGTTCTAAATGAAACATCCCACTGTTCCTGTGCAGAGACCTTTCCCAGAGAATATAAATACCTTAAGGGCAAAAAGCTGATGAGTCTCAGACAAAAGTAATCTCCTGTGGGATTAGGTCCTCCTTTTTGCTTTGTGCCCCCCCCCCCCCTTCATGTTCTAAAAACACTTGATTACTAAAATACATGATTTGCCTTCAACAACCCAACCCTGAGGTCCCCTTGGTTTTCATCAGGGGACAATGGGATTGTGTTAGATACAGTGGGTTCAGATGATTCCAGAATGGAATTGGAGACTTATGGCCTCAGTGACTCAGGTGGAGTGCTGTGCCATTGCTGGTTTTCCTAGAGGTCCCTAATTTCAGATCTAGTGAGGGGGAAGTCTCTTAGGGGGAAATCAAGTCAATTTCAGACTGAGGTTACAAGTTACTAGGTACATTGTATATACAGGAGGGGTCCAGAATCAAAAGGAGCAAGGGTAGTCCAAAAGGAGACAAAGGGAGCTGGAAGGAGGAACAACACCAAGGGTCAAGGGTTTGACTCAATGGTGTTTCCCAAAGGAGGAGTGAAGGGCCAAGGCCCAAGGAGGAAGGAAGGAGGATGGGAGTGGGGAATGGCTAGCTGACTGAATAGGAAGAAGCAGCAGCCCAAATAGAAATGAGGGAAATAGCGGGAATGAATGGGCCAATGTGTCAGGGCCCAGCCTCGGACTCGGAGGCTCCCTGACCTCAACCCTGTCATATCCGTACATACCCGATCCTGATCCAACTCCCAGACCCCCATCTTCACCACCTCCAGAGTCCCACCCTACCACCATCCGTTCCGATATTCACCTTTGGACCCAACACCACACCTCCTCTTACTCCTCACGTCACCTCGGCCCTTCCGTCCTTCTCCTACCCTACTTCTGTCACTCTCCTACCCTATCTCTGTCTGCTCTGATACTCACCTCGGACTGAACATCACTCCTCTCACCACCCTCCTCCTCTTACTCATCCCCTTACTTCTCTTACTCCTCATGACACCTCCACCCTTCCATCACTCTCCTACCCTACTCCTGTCCGCTCCGATACTCACCTTCAGACCTGACACCTTTCCTCTCCTCACTCCTCTCCCCGCTCCTCTCTTCTCTCTCCTCCCTCTGACCCTCTTCCACCAAACCTCCGGCAAGCTATGACCTTCCGCCACTGTCCCATACCCTGTACTCGGACACTGCTTGTACCTTCGCTCCGAGATTCCATCATAGTTCCAACCTTGGACTTTGACTCCACCTCAGCTTAAGTCCATTGCATTGGTGACCTCATACTACGTAAACACCATTGCCAACATTCCTCAGACTTTCAACCCCGCCTCCATAACCTCCATAAGCTCTGCAACCTCCAAGCTCCACAGATCATACTCAGCACTTTTGCTGCTTGTAATGTATCTCTCGCACTTTCCCCCCACCCCCATTTGGACTGCTGCTTCTCTCCATTCTAGCCAGTTAGTCATCATCCCCACTTCACCTTGTCCTCCTGCCCCTCTGGTGTCAGGGGACAACTCCCGGGTCCCCATGACCCTCCCCTATGGTCCACATTCTCTGGTCTGGCCAGCCCTATCCAGGGCACAATCCTACTGTGGGTCAGAGATGATATATAGAAGAGAGGCAAGTATATACAACTTGCCTACTGTGGGTCAGAGATGAGAAGGAAGTTAACTTCTCATCTTCCCACAGTGGCCACAATAGATCAAAAACTTCTGGAGATATCTGGAAGTCACATGAGACCCGAGACCCAAGGTCCGGGCCATCCAGCCGCACTGAGCGTTGTAAGCGGGCTAGGGATCTAACCCACTAGGAAAACAGGAAAGGACGGGGACCGGATTGGTATCCAACAGGTCAGGGAAAAGGGGTAATGGTGATATGGTATGGTCCGGTGTGGTACGGTGCATGGTGTACTCCAGTCAATCTCTCACCCCACCTCTCTGGGTGACACTAAGGCGAGGACTGATATAGAGGTCTTCTTACTGATGTTCTTCGTCGTTAATACTCCCTACTAGCTTGGGAGGGGCAAACTCGGTGGTTTCTAATCCCAGGGGAAAAGTAGATACATCCTCATGTACAGGTATATATGAGAAATGATCAAATAAAAATGATAAAAAATATCCGATGTGCCCCATGTGCTTAGGTGGATCATACGGGCAACAAACAATATCGGAAAAAAGAAGGGAAAACAATAATCAAGAAAACAATAAAGCAATAAATGATTTCCAGCCAAAAAATACCCAACCCTATCCATCGCCAATGAACTCCCGCTAATCATGGATCCTAATACTCCTAAATGGCGCGTTTCCAACCGTACCAATATCGTCCAAATCGGTACAGTGGTTGCTGAGATAAGTGAAATCCAGTCTGAGTGTGGCCGCGCTGCGGGGTGGGCGTGGGAATTTGGTCTGTGAGGACTGGGAATGTGTCTGGAAAAATAGGAAAAAATCATGGAAGGATAGGAATAGTATATGAGGACGTGTATGATGTGTTTCGTGAAGTGGGGATGTGCAGGGATGGGGAAATCGTGATATTCGGTTTGTTTATGCAGTACCAGCTGTGCCCGCCTACAGTGTCCGGCACAGGGCACACAAGGAAGTGCAACAGCTGGGTGCGGGTGCAAGTGCGGGTGTGGATGCAGGTATGGGCTAGGTCAGGGTGTATGCCCTGACAACTGGGCTTCGCCCTCCCTATCTCCTTTCGGAGGTACCACAGGTTCTAACCTATGACCTTTTGGTGCCACTCCGCTTCATCCCTTTGTTCCTGTTTGGACGCCTTTGTTCCGTTTCAGACCCCCTTTGATTTCCTTGTGCTATTGTCTCCCTATTATATACAGGCGCTTGTACATACACGTTTTGGACCTTCAGTCTAAAATTGACCTGAAATGCCCCCTAGAGACTTCCTGCTCGCCGCCTCTGAAATTAAGGACCAAATGGACAAACAGCAATGGCACAGCGCTCCGCATGAGTCGCTGAGGCCAAGGTCCCTCCTTGCTAAGTCTCCGGTTCCCCTCCAGAATCGTCTGCCCTCACCCAGTTCTAACAAACCCCCATCCAACCTGTCCTCACACCATGTGGGGCATGAGATGTATAGTAAAAGAAATAGAATATGTACACTTGCCTATGCAGGGCATGAGATGAGAAGAAGGGTAAAGGTCTCATCTCCCCATATGGTTGCTATATAAACGAATGGGTCACATGCCCACAACTATACAGCTCCTAGAGTTGTGTAGTGTGACCTGGAGGGAACATCCAGGTGGCAGTGCCCAGTAAGTGTGGGAACATTCTGGGTGAGCTGCTCACTCAGAAAGTTCCCATGCTATCCTGTGCGTGTGGATACACAACACAGAAAGGCAACAACAAGGCAACAATGAAGGAATGGAAGGAAGGGAGTGGTTGGGGAGTCTGGGGCACCCTAGGGCAGGGTGCTGAACCCTGACACAATGCAATAGTTGCAAGGTCCGAAGTAAGTCTGGAAAGTCTGAACTTGGAAGTTAAACTCCAGAATATTGGCAAAGGTAAATAAATGGAATTGGCTAACCAATACAATGGGTATATGTGGAGGTGGGTTCAAAGTCTGAGGTCAGAGCTAAGACCAGAGTTCCAGAGATGGAGATGCAAATGGGATTCTGGAGTGGAGGTCCAGAGTTGGGAGCATAGATGTTGCATGCTTGTCTGGAAAGTGTCGTGGTTGAGGTCAGGCCTGGAATGGTCTGGAGTTGGACCAAAGGTGGTGTTGGAGCCAGAGGTGGGATAACCTTTTGGGAATTGGCAGAGAGAAGGTGATGGGGGCTCTGGAGTCAGTTTCAGAGTTCCAGGAGCCTGGAGTGGAGGTCAGGATTGTACAGATATGACAGATTGGGTATCATGGACCAAGAGGAGTACCATGGCAATTTGGTATTTTGAAGAGTATTTTGCTTTTCCCCTTGGCAATGTGGATCTGAAGGAATACAGACATGGCTTGGTTGAGAAGGTTTG